TGTCAGAGGAAAACGTGCTATAAAGTTTCGCGGGTGTTCTGTTCTAAGCGTACGTGGATATGTGATGCTTTCATAGTGCACCTGTGAACTTCTGCTTGTTAATGCGCATGCTCAGTTCTGCTGCAGTGTAGCGGTGCTACAAGGAAGACCATGTGAATTCGGCCGTCTTATTTCTGGCTGCATATGCATAAATGTGTCCCTTTCCAGGAAAGGGGTGATACTGCAACAGTACTTGATATGTGTCCATACACTGGCCCCGTGATGTTAAATTGATGAAGTTTGCGAGTTCAATGGGTGGAAATCATTGGAAAACAGCACTTGTCACTGTAATCAATCTCTAAGCCGCTGTCATCATCATCGGTGATGGTGATGCTCTGAAGCGATGATCTGGTGCAGGAGCATGACTTGGATCAGGTTGAGGTGGAGAAATCACACAAGGCCTTTTTGGTTCATTCACATGAACAACACACCAAAATGCTTTTGTAAGCATTGATGGGGCGAAGTGGTAATTGGGCGAAGTGGCAAATGGGTGAAGGGATAAATGGGCAAAGTGGCAAATGGACGAAGAGGTCAATGAGCGACGTGGTTGTGGGCGACACAACACGCGTCAACACGATAGTAATGTCAACACACCGTCAACACACCGTCAACAAACCCAAATCACATTTTAAGTTAACAGAAACGCAATTCAATAGCAATATAATGCCTAAAATAGACTTTGGCTAACAACAGTAGGCGACATTTGGGGGAAAAAAGCCATTTTATTTCACGAAAATAACACTCTCCGCACAACCACGAAAGACAGTAGCCATGTTGCCTCGATCAGATGGACCATACCATTACGCTACAGGGGGTCACCTTTATACAGTAAACCATGGTACGGTCCAATCGTCGTGAGAAGGCAAGATGGTGGCGAACAGCAGCGCTGCTCAGACACCATTTTTTCATGTGAAAATCTCCCTTGAAATGTAGTAAAATGTAAACTCAATTAAACAGAAATTATTCCTAAGTGTATAGTTATACATTACAGTTCGACACGTCTGTTTTCAATGCATTTTGTAAGTGTTGGCGGTGTGTTAACGTTATCATCAATGTGTTGACGCGTGTTGACACTGATTAATACGACCCCTTCCTACGGCTTAAGAGAGATAAATAACTTGTCAGGAGAATCCCTGTCATGCCTGTACAAGGTCAGGAACATCATAAAGTGTATCGAATAATATGCGCTGCGACGATAATGTCACTGAATGTTGAACCTAAACTTATGTTTAAACTAAAACTTTAGACATGTTAGAACTAAGTATAGTACTGGGAATTAACTAGCTGACTAGGGCCTAACAGTAACACATGCCTTGCTAAGCTGAGGCCCTACCATCAATCCGAAGGGGCTGAAGTCGACACGCCGTTATTGCGCAATTTCACGCAGGAAAATGGCAAATCAATCACTGAATCAGTGAGTATTTTCAGAGGCAACACTTCCACACCTGATCGTTGCGAACACGTTTCTAATTCTATTCGTTTATTTCTGCTGAAACCGAAAGACAACGCCAACACGTGCATCGCATGCATTGGTTACTGCAGGCAGCTGTCAGCGCGTTCAGCGAGCGGGTTTCACGTCAAAACGATGATAAATTCCCAGTCTTCTTTGGATCCCATCAATGCCGTATGGCTACAAAAATACAGCGCCTCATCATGGCACCAGTCTGTCCTTCCCAACGATGAAAATTTTCAACTTCCGCGTTTAGAATCATGGGAAATGTCTTTAGACAGCAGAGTTCGCGCATGCGCGAACGTGCATCCTGGGTTAAATTTCAACGTGTTGGATGAGACGGATAACCTGTCTTTCTTTTCTTTTGGGTCTTTAACGTGATCAAATTTTAGCTTGATCAACGATGAATTTGAACAAGTAAGCTTGACATATTTTGTTAGTGTAAATGTATTTTGAGTCTTTTGAGCTTAAACGTATAAAATTAGCCAGCTTTTGTAATAGTGTCGGTCAAATTTGCATCAGATGTGTGTACATAGTCGCCATATTGGGCGACTTCAACTTGGTCGTGTTGTTGGGCACTCCAGTCACTCGCAGTCAGTGTCAGTGACACTTAACATACTTAACCATAATGATTGTTGAAAGATTGAAAAAGTCTGAGTTAGCATCCTAGAATCCCTGATTTTTACATTTGTGAAATTTTGGAAAGAATTCCATCATAGCGTACTGTGCCTAAGGCTAAGTTAGTTCGTGGCTATTCATTTTTGTGCATATCGCAACTCTCGTGTCCCTGTATTAGGAGAAGTCCCTTCATTTGGGGACAAAACGAGTCCCCTGAAAGAGAGACTGTCTCCTTAAAAGGAGACTTTTTTCTAAAGTTGGCTTAGGTCAAAAATATCCAAATGCTATTGTTGATTTTTTTCACCCAAAGGCCCATTTCCATTCATAACTAGGCTGCATGTACATGTAGGTCCATACTTTGTGCTAGGTGGTCTAAGAATTGATTTTCAGAAAAATTTTGATGTGGCCTTTTTCCCAGCTTTTGTGTGCCATTGCAGACTCCTGTTTCTAATCCTAGAAGTAGATGGTAGAATTTTGTTTAATAATAATATTTATTTAAACAGCAGCCTTGGGTGTTTTCTTCTGCTGAATCCAATTAAGGCATTAAAAGGATCCCCACAGCAATGGTAGGATCACTAAAGCCAGTTTCACACACAAGCCAAAAAACTAGGGTCCTTGGTCACAGGTACCAGTAGTCTGTCACCTGGGTCGTATGAGATCACGAAGCGAGCTTTCACACACAACGCAGTACACCAACGTCCCCCATTTTGTGAGTTTACATAAGATGTGGTCAAGGGTCAGGATTGTTTATTCCCTGTTTCACTGGTACTGCGCGCAATAACTGTCCGCAGTACGTTCATATGTAGGTTACCACCAAGATTCCCGCACACGCGGTATGTACACTGTACGTATGCCCCGAGGTATGCTACATGTATTTGTATGTCCAGCATCGAAGGGAAGGGTTTGTACTACTTCTCTTTGATTTTGAGGGACTTTTAATTCTCATTAAACTGCACTGAAGAGGCTTAACCCTAACACCCTAGGGACCATTAAAATCATGCATAAACTTGCTGGGTTCAGAATGGTTAGGGATAAGCATGATCTCCTCAAACGTAACCATCTTTATTATTGCAAACGCGCAACGTACATGCGGAGTACTCCTGCCAAAACCAGGGTCCATGGTTATGAACACTGCGCACGTTCCACACACACAATTGCTTGGGTTTCAACAAGGTTGTGAAAGTGTGGAGGAGGTCTGGACCTTGGAAATCAAAAACCAAGGACCTTGGCAATTTTTTTCGCTCTCACACATCACAGATTTGCTATTTCATGACATGGATGCGATTTTATCGCACAGGACCTCGGTGAGTTCGTCTGGTGTGCAACGGCCTGAAGCCTACTTGAAAAAAAACTTGTCCCCATTTAAAGGGATATTCTCTCTCTCTCCAGGGAGTTATTTTGTCCTTGAAAAAAGAGACTTCTCCAAATACAGGGATAGTCTCCGAGTTGTGATGTGCACCGCTATTGTCATGATCATACGGACGCTTTATTTAATTAACATTTATTTAGACTTAAGTACCTCAGGAATGGAAACACAAGCAGGATGAGACAGTGTAATACTTCGCTGAATTCCCTCTCCAATTGAAATGGCCAAGAGGATGATAGTTACTCACACGGTCAGACTCAGAATGGTGACTTGCTGGATACAAGCTGCTTGGCCAATTTACACATGTAAATCACCTCTAAGAATCACGTGTGACGTGAACAGCCCCAAGAAGAAGTTTCTTCGCTCCAGTGTTGGCCCTATCCTTGTCCATAGGAAATAGGGCTGCCTGGTTATATATTTCAACTAAGCGGATCTGGGGAATATAAATTTATTGTGACATGGCATTGTTACAACAGTTCTACATGTACATACATGTAGCAAGGTGACAGCCGACTGTCACGAAGAGTGCCATCTAACCCACCCTTCCAGCCACCGCGTCAAACACTGACTTAAATCGTGATTTTTCAACATCACTGATGTAAATCAACATGTAAAATTGGGAAGCAGAAAGGTAATAGTGGCAATTTTTTATCTTTTTTTAGCTAATTTGCAATATTTTCCACATTTCATTCATTACAAACTGGTTAAATGGCAAATCCTTATCTATGAGCCCTTCAATACAAAGTGCACGTAAATGTATTGTTAAGATGCAGGGACGCACATGTGTTATGCAGAGTCTGGAATGGCAGGATTGTTTAGTTCAATCCAAGCCATGTGTTGATTTTAATTGGCTTTTTTGGATTCAGTGCATGAAAAAGGATTTGTAATCATGTTTTAATTTCACACCATTTAAAGTGTCCACCTCTGGAATGAAACGTGATACAGCATCAATGTACATGTGCATTGTACATCTACATGTACATGTACCAGCATCTTTAATTTTATTAGGAGTATGGCACTTCTGTTGTACAGTGTACACGTAGTATGGGAATATTGGGACTAATGTTGGTACAGTACATGTACATGTAATTAAGAAGTGAATCTTGAACCAGTTACAATTGTTCTAAAGAAGTGAGTTTTAATTAAGCCCGAGTCTCTTCTATATTAAGTACAAAAGATCTGGATTAAAGGCAAACCTATTACGAGACAAGGTACATGTACAGTGTACCTCTGTAAATTCCAGCTTTTTCTAACTTTAGGTACATGTACATGTACCGGTACATATAGCACAGGCCAATGTAGCAAGAGTATGTGCATGTGGTGATGGCATTTATTTTACTCACTGGTCCTTAATTTTGAGTTCCTGGTTAATAAATTCCTGTAGATTCTATTTTTTTTCCTCGCAACTTTTAATCCAGCTTAAAACCTGGTAAAAAGAAAAATTAAATCCAACAAAACTTAATTTGGGAGGGGGATTTAAGTAAAGGAATTGCCAACTCTTGTGTTCAGTAAGTATTTGAAAGGACCATGAAATCTTACTTTGACAAAGTTTCATCTGGTTCTGTGCTTACACAGGAAAAAAAGAAAGAATCCTTCAGGTACTTGGTCTCAACTAAGCTCCTCATTTGTGTAACCACTAGGCCCACATGGTCGCTTAGTGCTGTGCAAGAATTTAATATTTCGTATCAGCCTACTTGTACATGTAATTGTAAGGTACTCTGGCGGATGCTGAACAACATGGTTGCCACTGTTAGCAATGTCTTTGATCCTCAAGGCCAAGGCTTTGACTCTCAAGCATTCAGGCTATGGACAACTGACCTATGCACAACATTCTACTGGCGCAAAACTGGCAACAATTCAATACGAAGTTATGGACGGAGGCCCAGACACGCTCAACTCTTATTCCAGTATCTTTGTTCCAGTTAAAATGGGGCTGTCTCTATACATAAATACCGGTATCTGGGCCCAAGTTATGCGACTAATCATTCCATAGCCCCACACACAAAACATGTTGGCCAAAGCCTACTCAACAGATGAGTGATATTTTGTACCGAATTTATGACCGTTAACCTGGTTTGGCTTGGGAGATATACATGTACATTGTAATGTTGAAGGTTTCAGTGCTGCATGTCAGAATTCTGATTGAGTGAGAGCAAGTTGCTGCAATGCTCAGGCCTGTAAATCCCCAAAGTGCTCCTTTGTGTCCTGATTTTGAGAGCGTTTGCTACTCACTGTCCCAAACAGTCCCTAGTTGGAGGACTGAGGACTGATAGGGCTGGGCCCCCCTTTTTCCCCAATGCTGAGGAAAAATTTTTGATTCCAAGATGTCATGACAAATGGATATTCCTTCAAGCTATCTTTAAAGCTAAAGTAGACTTCTTCTTCTTCTTTTTTGGTGACTCATACTTTTAAAAAGGAGTTCTTGTGAACCTTAAAGTCAGATTGGATTACTGAAAATAATCTTGTTAAATTGAATGGGTATTACAGTGCATTTCTGTATTTGTACAGTATATGTATAATAGTCAGTCATTTTTGAAATGAATCAAGGAGTCTTTTTTCTTTGTCTTTCAGATTTTGGAGATCAGTCATGATGAGTTGATGAAAGCTCCATTGTGCGTGTGTGTGTAGGTGAACTGTTTTAATTGACAATTTCTGACAAAATTCCGAATCAAGGAGAAGAAAAAAGTGCAGCTGACGTACATGTAGCAAGGAGCTAGGGGCATCGTCCTTCCCAGTGGATTTTTGTAATCAGCCGGACCCATCGAGTGTTTAACTGCGGAATAACAGTAGTGCATTCCACGCCATCATCATGGTGTTGTCCCAGAGACAGAGAGAGGAACTGTGAGTATGCACAGTCACTGCTTGCGGATCCTCAGGATTGCGAAATTGTTTCTTAACTAACCCTAACTGCCCAAACGTTGCTGGACCTAACCTTCCCCATTCACACAAAGTTAAACACCTATATGGGACTTTGTGCACAGAGGCTGTAGGACTTTCTGAGGTATGCTAAACCCAATGCAAAAGCCAGCTCTTATGGGCCTACCAGACCTATCCCCACAGAATTAAACACTTTACTACTGTTTAATTCTGTGTGGTCGGGGAAGGTTAGGGTTAACCAAGTACCAAGCAGCAGGTTCATCTGCCAAAATCCCTGCAGTGCTCCAAATCAGTGGATACAATGCCAGCTGCTTGATCACTCAACGTTCAAGTGGTGTCCACACGGATTTGTTATGCTGCAATCTGTATGAGTGCGCCCCTCCGGTAAAAATGTGAAATGTACATGTACGTTTGATTGTGATTGGTCCTCCTGTTAAAGGAAAGGATACATGTAGATTGAAAAAATTGAAAACTTTTACGTGTGAGGGTGATGTACATGTACAGGGTAGCTTTAATGGTTGTAAGACACTTGTAATTTTGGTTCATCTGTTAATTTAAGAGATGAACCCTCATACGTAAAAGTTTTGTGCAGGTGGTATCAATAAACATAGCGAATACACAGCACACTATCAATCAGTCATTTTTTTTTCACATAGACTTTACAAATTTTAAGCACAATCACCGTATTCAGCCAACATTCAGAGTGGCATTTTATCAGTAATCTAGCTTGGCATGTGATGTATTTGAACTTGACTCTTTGGCCCTCCATTAAGATTGTTTACATAAAGTTAGATTGAGTGTTGTGGTGATTGTACAATGTAATTGGGGTTTTCCCTAACCCACTTTCCTAGAACTCTTGCCATTAGCACTGTTCATGTAAATAAATGTAGCTGTCCACCCTAGCATCTTCCATCCTGTTGGTATTCACAAAATTTGTCAATTATAGCAGTCGGTGTTGGCTGTGACACTATGCCAGCTGGTTGCTGATAAGCGAAACAGCCAACAAGTGTCATTTTCATACATGTACGGTATCTCCCTTATACAGGCGTAACATCTCAACAAGCAACATAGTGGTTTGCTGTTTCCTAGTACATGTATATGTAATTGTTGCTACATGTACGTGACCACAGCACATAACTTTGGTAAACAACACAGGCAGGGTCTCTAGTGATCTGGCATGCGCTAGTCTACAAAAATATAACAACTTAGAAGGTGCACAGACAGTGTATAGCCCATACGCTTGGGTCAGCACATCCATTATCACCGTTATACTAAATACATATAGCATCAACAGAGCGTCACCAAATGCAGTTAGCATCAAACACAAAAGAACCTGAATCTGCACTCTCAAGCTTCAAAAGAAGTACTGTATACACGGTATCATCACATTGCAAAGACTCTCACATCTCCTTTTCAGTTAGTTCTCATTCTAAATAAATTACCTGTACTTTTTTGTAAACAAGACTTTATTGTAAGAGGGGTGGAAAGACAGACAAAAGAATTCCAGAAATTGGGATGCACAGAATATGTTCTTTATAACAGTAGTTTCTTGTTACAGTGTTCTTTACAGAGTCCACTGTGTATAAGAAAAAACTTCCTCTCCAGATATCCATAGGAAAATATGTTTTATTTCATGGAAAAGTGGAGGCTGCCATCATCTTGATTGGTCTCATGCCCACAAGATGGTGGCCAGCCGGGCTGCACGAGAAGCTCTGTCGTCTCTTACATTGTTGCTCAAGGTTCACATTCAAAATATCATTTGAAATAAATGTGACAGGCTAAATACTTAAGATCTCAACTACTATGGTAAATTTACACATGACATTGCTCACATTTGTTGACGCATTTTGTGCTTGTTTTGCTCAGTGTGATGACCCTGTATGACCTTGTATACCATGTATGGTATGTTTTTACATTTGTTTCTGTCAGCATCGGTGATAGGTACATGTAGGTGTAGACTGGTAGAGTGCTTTTAATCCATAAATTGATGTGTACCTAGTACCGGTATTTCATATACACCTACATAAACACCCATGATCATAAAATTTCATGGCTTCCTAAATGCAATCCGATATAAACATTGTATCCAAACAAAACTTAACACATGCACATGTATCGTACATTTCCTTTTGGAGTACAAGGTACATATAGAAGTGTATGGTAGTGCAGTAAATGGTTGTTAGTAATGTCTGCTCAGTCTGCTGGAGTGAAACATACCGTGCACGGATGCTGTTTATGCTGATTAAGGTTTTTTGCTCCAAATGAGTGTCATATGCAGCCTACATACCCGTACTTAATTTGACTTTTAATTCCTGAAGAATATCTATCCTTTTTTCACAGCTTCAGTGCTGCATACCACACCAAATATAAAAGTCTAAAACTCAGTTTCTTAATTTCCGTCCATGGCAAAATGGTTTCCCCAAACATTGAAACAAACATACCTGAATACATGATTTTCCAAACTTTGTGAAAATTGTTTCACCCTGACACACCTGACAAAGAGATGAAGATATCTGCCAAGAAAGTACGCAGATCAACTGTATGCTTAACTACCCTTTGAAACTGAAAATAAAGTTGGCATTTCTACACATCTTTTTTCTTTAAAATTAGATTTACATTTGACTCATATTTGACTTGCATTGATTTATGTACATTGTAACTTTTAATAACAAATTATTCTTTTCCTTTTGGAAAGTAAAATTCAGGATAGGCCCACGCTGTTGCTGCTTGCTACACCTGTACCGTGTATGCATGTTTTGATTTTCTCAACATACATGTACCTTAGCGACATGCAGATCTGCCAAAATACCTCTTCAAAACTGTATTCAAATTTTATTCCCCCCCAGTCGCATATGTTTTTAGCCGCCAGTGACAACGTGGAATGAGTCATGGCATTGGCATGTGCCAAGTGCATCTCGAGCACGTACCGGCGCGATGCAGACCGTGTGCGGCGTGGGGGGGGGGATTAATTACACTCAATAGCTCTGGACTGTGGACACGCTCTTGTGCATCTTCGTGATGAGTGCAAGACTTGCATGTACTGTGTTCAATTGTTGCAAGCAGGCAGACATGTGGAACAAATTCACATTGTGCACGAGGCACTTGCACCGAACTGCACATTGTATGTGTTGTCATACAAAACCATTGTGAATGTAGCGTTAGTCGCACCTAAGCCACAGTTTGACAACTTCTTCACTCTTTTGTAAACATTGCCATTCAGCCGTACACAAATGAAAATATTGCAAAATATCCTGCCATACATGTACAGAATCTCTTATACTATCTACTGTGTCACTGTTCAGGATGGACACACAGTGCTTTTGTAACTTTTGGGGTCAGGCTCAAGCAATAATTATTTGAAATATGTACAGTTTAATGGTGTATTGGCACCCTTCGGGCTACCTGCAGAAGTTTATAGAATCTGGTTATCACAGGGAAAAAGGTTTTGTGCCTTGTACTTGCACTGGTATACATGTACATGTATGTACGGGCAAGGGTGCGGTTTTCAATCCACTGTGTTTTGCATGGTTTCCCCTTTCTGTTCGTAACACATGTAACAGCTAATTTATACATGTAGATAAATTTGGCTGTGTTTTTGTTTCTTTTTTTTTTGTATTTCTGAGTTTTTCTTTAAAACTAAAAATGAAACAATTGCAGTTTACACACTGTTCTGTGTATTCAAGACTGATTACATTTTTCATTGTTGAAAAATTAATGTGTGGCTCTGCGAAGCCTGCAAACAATACCGGTATGAATATTTGAAAAGGAAATTTATTGCAGTCTGTTCTTCAAAACTTCATTGACTTGTATATCGTATGAAGAGGAATTATTACTCAAGTCCCTTGTCAACACTCTTGATTTATCACTGCAAGTATATACATGTACCAAAGTTCACTCGATTCAGGCAGATCCCTGGATAAATTGCACATTAATGGGCACCAGTAGTCAGTACTGTTCCTTGGCTTTCCATTCTGAGAAGGTTTCCTAACTTTTATTAGAAACATTTAATCTCCGACCAGGATTACATTGTGTCGAAAGCTAGCCAATTTAAGTGATTAACAGGTCCCCCGGGACTCCAGGGAACATCTCAAATGCCACCCGATCATGCTTGTCTGTGTTTGGAATGACGTCATCGGCTGGTTATCGGTAGTTGGCTGTGTGAAGGGATGTACCGGTAATTTAAACAAGGTGGGGAGGGGGACCAGTCTCTTGGGGAAGAATCAAAAAGTTCTAACGTTTATTATCAAATCCATGACTAGAATTTTAGTGTAGGCCCTACATGTACTGTACATGTATGTTGCCAGCACATGTGGATCCATGCACTTATGCCATGGTACATATACCAAGTGTGATTGTGAATATGTACTGAACATGTGATGCAAGGAAATCATGCATTTCATTACATGAACCATTTAATGTACATGTACAGGTACAGTACATGTACATATATCCATACGTAAAGTATACAATTACCAAATTGACCATATGTTGCAACACAGGGATTTATTTGTAAATCTAGTAGACATGTACGCCTGTACCATGGTACCCGTACCATGTAAAATAAACATGCTAATGCACTTAACAAAATTACAAGTTGCTCCTGTGCAGACCTGTGCATCTACATGTACATATAATTTAGTGTCAACAGTGCTATAAATACAGCTTTTCCTACATGTACACTGTACATACATGTACGGTACATGTACGGTACAGCGTATGTACATGTACATGATAAGGTACCGGTACAAAAATGTACATGTACCGATTTACATGTACATGTACATGTATGTGCATACTGGTATATTTCATGCACAAGGTTGATACTTGAATACATGGCATACCATATTCAAGGATGTACACGAAACCGACCGGTATGTACATGTACATGTACATGTACATGAATATACATTTTGTACATGTGTACATGTACATCTTCCTGTGCACTACTTTAAAAGTACATACAT